CCCCCACCAGGAATAGTAAAATACAGAATGTGTGTAATTAATCCCAAACAAATTCCAGGGTCCTCTTAACTCGACCTCAGGAGCTTTGCACTCCTGTGGCCTAAACATGGCTGCGTTTCTTCGAAAGGAGCACGGGAGGTGAAAGACCCTTTCATAAGGGGCCCCCCGAGCCAAACAGCAGTCCATTATAGCAGCAACATCAGGCTTCACTCTCTGAGGCAAGAAACTATCCTATCTGAAATACTCCCAGAAATAACCTTGACTGAAACAAATGAATTAAAGGCTTACCCCTCCGTCTCCTGCTGCTTGAAAGCCGACCTTGAGTCATTAGGATTACTTCTCTCTCCTTAAAGCAGACCTCCACAATCGGTCTTGTGCTCTTTCTGATCACTGATTATTTGCAGTTCAACCATGACTAAGGATTGTTACAATGCTGGTGGACTTTAACTAGACCTGGATTATGCTCCAGTCCAAAGGGGCAAACCTTTCAGGGCGCCAACACAATTCATGAAGTTATCATTCATCATAGCCGACAAAGGGCCAGGTACCAGAGGTTAGAAAAACCTTTCTTAACAGCACAATAACTTTATCTGCAAAAAAGGTGGAAAGCTTTGACTCCTGCAGACTGAATAGAAGTTTCCTAAAAAAAAACCTGCGGTCACTACAAGAGCTTGAATGCAACATCTGTGAAGCAATAAGTACTGTGTGAGCACTGTGACTGGATTGAGGCCAGAGATCAGCCTGATAATAACAGGGTGCTGCACCACAGGGCCCTAAACTTAGTTTTAGATGTAAAATGTGTGTAACTACTCCTAGGCTTAATGGAAAATAAATAAGAAGTTTAAAAGTCAACAGAAATGTTGAATGTTGCACAGTTAAAGGAAGGACGTAATACAAAATGTGGGGTTAGGAGATGTGACAAAATACATAACATGACACATTAGAAATTAATCAACTCAGAGATGTTGCCAAACAGTTTGTTCTGAGGAAGCCGTCCATTTAATAATGAATAGATCAATATTTATTTAACTGGATAAACCAGAAGAACCTGGTGACTTCATCAGCAGTGACAGTGCAAACACCTAAGGATATAGTAGCAGTTGGAAGTTTGTGGGGCCATTTTGAAAATAGAGCTAGAAAGATGACTTGGTTGCTTTTCAATGATTGTGAAACTATCCCAATATTTTCAGATTATTTTGGCTACATTTATAGGATAATGAAAACAATCAGTAGTTGCAGTTATTCTTAAAATGTTTTAAAGTAAATGATTATCAAAAGGGATGCCAGTTAATCTTATTTTGATCAATTTATTGATTAATAAAATAATGTTTCAGCTCTATTTAAGTATACATTTTTGAACATGTCTGAGCTTATCAAAGTTGTTCTCATAGTAATTTTGCACAATAGCATGACATAATGTAAAACACAGAAGAGCTGTCACAGTATGCACAAGTACTGTCCCAATACATACATAATCAATTGTAAAACAGGTGGTTCCTTGATGTAAACATGTGAGTCTCTCTGCTTTGTGCCGCCCAAAAGGATGACATCTGGGGAGGTGGGCTTCAAAGGGAACAGATCAAGGACACAGAGAGAATATGTGAGGCCCATAAAAGTTCCCTTATTGCTGTAGGGCAGATTCCCAATCCTCTGGATGTCAAGGTGCCCCCAAACAGATGTGCATTAGGGTAAAAAGTTGATTTTATGTTGCATTTATACATCCAGAAGCATCTGAATAATAAAGGTAACCACAATAGTCGTATTTAAGTATTTCTTATTTGGTTTTGAGACACCAGGGACTAGAGTCCCTTGGTGGCCCTGGGACCCTGCTATCAGCATGCCTTTACTTCACAAACCACTAAAGTGCAGTGCAAAGTAGTCTAAATAACAGATCAACAGTTTGTTAGTAGAGTTATGTTGTTAAGGGATGCAGCAGGTTGTCTCCCTCCTCTCCCTCACACAGCAACTTCTTATCTCTGTGTGTGTGTGTGTGTGTGTGTGTGTGTGTGTGTGTGTGTGTGTGTGTGTGTGTGTGTTTGTTTGTTTGCTATCAGCTCATGACCCTGTCCTGCCAGCAGCGCAGAGGTTAACACGGATGCCATCACAAATGGCTGCGTTCAGAGAGCCATTTGAACCCCCCCTCCCCTCATGTCTTCTACTCACCGCGGGTGTTAGATGTTCAGCTCGCAGTCCACCGGTGGTTGAAGCTCAGTTGTCATTATTCTAAGTCTTTTTTCCTCGGCTGCCTTTTCCTCCGTGTCCCGTTTATCCGACAGCCGTTCATTACTTCCTGTATGCACTGATGACGACGACAGCGTGCACTGCATGCGCGCGGTGGGTGGAAGAGGGTTTGTCAAGCGGTGACTTCACGTGCTGTTGGAAATTTGAAAACCACGCGTCGTCAACTTAATCCTTTGAAAAGAAAATATGTGCAAATGGACATACTACACAGAGGTGGGAGAAGTACTCAGATCTTGTACTTGAGTGAAATTAGACGTACCAGAGTGTAGGAGTACTCCGTTTAAAGTAAAAGTCCTGCATTCAAAATGTTACTCAAGTAAAAGTAGAAAAGTATGAGCATCAAAATATACTTAAAGTACCAAAAGTAAAAGCACTCATTATGCAGATTGGTCCAATTCACAATAATATATAATCTTTGTTTTGATTATTATTGATGCATTAAAGTGTTATCAAAGCTGGTAGTTTTAATTACTTTGTATACTGCAGGGTAGATTGTGAATTTATTCCAGGTGTAACTAAAGTCTTATTAAAGTGTTGATTATTTCACATAATGTATGCAAATCTGTAAAGTAACTAAAGGTATATTAAATAAATGTAGTGGACTACACAATTTACAGTGTGTAAATTGTACAAAGTACATAACATTCAAATACTCAAGTAAAGTACAAGTATCTCAAAATTGTACTTAAGTATGCTACAGTACTTGAATAAATGTACGTAGTTACTTCCCACCTCTGATACTACAGCTGTATGGATTTGACTGAGACAGTTTCAATTATCAAATTGTTCCATCACTAACCGAGTTATGCCGGAAAAACATGTGAACTATCTGGTTTCCACAATACATAAAAAATAACTTAGAACCCAATCGTTAAACAAAGGTTTGACAATATTTGGTGTTATAAGAAACATTGATTCAGGTTATTCACATATACTCTCAGTACAGTGTCTTGGCTTAAATTTATTTTCTTTATTTCCAATCACTGATCTTCCTATGAATCTTTTTGAAGTCCCGCCTTACACTTTGAAAACCATATGGTTATATATAATGTGAGAATACACCTTTTTTGTTTTTAATTTTCTTTTGAAACACATAATACCTTTTACTCTTTACATTGTTAGGCACTGCACACTGTCCACAGTTCCTCCACATTCTCTAACACTATCACTATTCAAATATTTGCCCAAGGAGCACAGCCCTACACAGAATCCGGGTCTTTCTCAAGAAGAGGACATCAATTATGAGCTGACGCAGAGGTTCAAAGCAAAAACTTTTTTTATTCTGCGTGTGATACAGAATTCTGTATAAAGGCACTTTAACAGGGAAGTATTGTAAAGCCGTGAGCACAACAGTGAAACTGCAACACATGCAAAGGCACAACTGCAGTTTAGAAAAAGCAAGAGGAAAAGTGATTAAAAAAAAGAATGGTCTGATTGTCATGTTCTCTGATTGAAAAGATTAAATTAGATAATAAATATATCAAATAAGCAAAACATCACTGAATTCCTGAAACCACATTTTGGCTAAACATTTGTGAAAGGGTTTTCTTTTAAACTGTAAGTGAACTCAAGAAAGGCACATTAAACTTCTACAGAGATAGCTGATGCAATTCAATGTATTGGCAACCTTCATATATAAACAAAACAACCTTATACTAATACTAAATAGTAATTGTGGCATAATTAACATTAAAATGAACAATCTAAGATCAAAATGAGCCAACTGCCTAACAGAAGTGATTTTCAGTGCATAAAAGCCATTTTACAGTGGTTGATTTTTAAGAAAGGAAAAAAACATGACTACACTAGTTACAGAGTTTTCATTGCACCCATTGATTTAGCAACATGGGCTTGTTTTGAGGTCAAAGATCAATATGTACAAAACTGTTACACTAATCTACTGTTGTTGAACTTGTGTATATGAAGAAAATATATGTTCTAATCAGTAACATATTCATTCAACTAAAAACGATATTGTCCATCTCAAAAATGCAAAGCCAATTTCCTGGCAACAGAGTAAGGCCCCGCTCACACGGGACCGTTTGCGTTTATGCACAGTATGCGTATTCAAAAAAGTCTTCCGTTCACATGCATTTGTTTCATTTAACGTGTCTGTTTAAACGAGGCCGCTGGAAACGCTGTAGTACATATGCTGGGACTGTAAGTGGCGCTGTAACTTCCGCCAAAATACACCAAAAGCCGCGAAGAAGAGCAGCCTGGAGCAGCCCCGCAGCAATGTTGCCATGGCTACCCTTCTGTTTAAGCCCTGAAACTGAAAGAAACTGAAAGAAATCGAATCTGTTGTTGCTGATGGTTGTGGTAGAGGAGCTGTATATTTTTGCACTAATATCTGTAGCATGGTCAGTAGCAGTAGCACTAGCAGTAGCTACTGACAGGAGGAAGTCAGTGTGTGTGGCGATTGCTGGTATTCAGCGGGATATAGTCATTTCCTCAGCATATGGATAAATGCAACGGGGAAGTTAACTGAAAGAAACCAAGAAGCACGTCTCTGTGGATATTGCATCGAGAGGACGGCTCAGAAAGAGAGATATTCTCTACAAACACCGGGTGAGATGCACCTTTGTCAATATAATGGATCAATGCATGAAATCTGACTCTGTTTATTTTGTTTAAGGAGTATATTGGGCGTTAACAATTCTGGTTTGCCTTTTATAATATTATTTCATTCAAGAACCCCTTGTGCGTTTAATTAACACAGCTATTTTTGATAGTTGCTACAGCAGTGAGCAGGAGAGGTGCTATTTTTTTTCAGGAAATATTCGTATAGAGGTGATTACACGGACTCGGTTGACCCCCCAGAGCGTTTCGTTTGCAAATCTATCCACCTTGGGACCCGTTATCGTTTGTGGGGTCAGTTTCTATCGGCCTCGTGTAAATAATAGGGCTATACGCACGCGAAACTATGCAGATACAAGCAGTTTTCTCCTCGTGTAAACGGCGCCTAAATCCTAACCTGTTGGCTAATTATTGCTTTGACACTTTGCACTCATAAGCTAAACAAAAGGGGGCACTGTCAAAACTGTGGTTGGTTTGGTACGAAGACAACAACCGCACTATCACTCTCTCTTGCCAAAACATTCTCCTATCAAAAAAAAGTACTATAATTCCACCTGCTCTGTGTAGCACAAACCCCACCACACATGTTACAACAATGAGATTAACTAAAAAAACACTTCAGTGCACCCAAAAATGTGCAAACAAGTTCTGCAGGAAGTAAGTGGGAGTGCAGAGAACAGTCTGAGTTGTAAATGAAACCGGTGGCACACATGTTTATTTAAAAAGCAAACTCTCCTGTTCTGATTCATGCGTTTGAATCTCAGTCCTTCAGTAGGCTGGAGGTTGGTACTCCCCCGGCTGCTCCTGGTTGTTGGAGAAAGGCGACTGCTGGTAGCCCGTGGGGCCGCTGCTGGCGTACGGAGACGGCGGGTATGGAGTACTCTGGTCATTGGCTGGGTCTCTGTACTCCTGCTCAAACTCATTGACGCCTTGGCGATACCTTTCAAGCGCAAAGAAGCACAAGAGACCCTGTTGGGAGAAGTCAAGAGTTAGTAAAGGGAGCTTTTACACTACTCTCTGGCACATTTTCCTCCAGCTGAGTGGTGTGTTATTATAGGATTTTGTCAGTCAAAAGCGGGTCACACTCGGAGGGGATGAAAGGCTCACCCAGGTGATGATGGAGAAGAAGGAGAAGGCCACGATGGCCCGGGCGGCATCCCCAGCAACAGCCTCAGTGGAGTCGGGGGTTTTAGACCACTGGTTGGCCAGGACACAGAAGCAGATGAACCATAGGAACGCCCAAATCCCTGTAAAAAGGATGAAAATGATTTTTCGCCACCTGAACAGTTTCTTCCCATCCGCTACCGGCCTCATAAACAAGGCCCGGCCCCCCCCACTGACACTTTACCTCAGCCACAATGCAGACTTTCTATTACTGCCGATTTTTATTCCAATGTAAATACTGTCATATTTTACTATATTTTTTATATTTTTCTAGTTCTCTACCTGTGTTTTTAATTCTTGTTTTACTTTTATGTATGCACCACGACACCAAGTCAAATTCCTCGTACGTGTAAACCTAACTGGTAATAAACCTGTTTCTATTCTAATCAGTCAGGATTAGGAGGAAATATGAAACTGAATTAACCTCAATTAGGCTGCACTTCCTGTTTTTAGGCATGGTTCCTGTATTATGTGCAAGCAGAGAGAAACATGACTCTCACCTGAGAAGACCAGATCTCCTAAAACAATGACTTTTCTCTCTTTGGCGTTGCTTATTTGTGGGAAGTAGGCGTCCACTATGAGGAAGACAACACAAGCCATGAAGGCCAGGACTCCGATGCCCACGCCGTAGCTGCAGGCGCCGTCGTTCGCATTGAATATGCATTTGGCATCTTGCTCCTTTGTTTGGTTGATGTAGCCTTCTGCTGTGATGGTTGCAAAGACCACGATGGAGAATAACTGCAAAGAAGAGACACAAAGGGTTAAAGCTAGGAGCCGGGGGGGGTGTGAAATATGCACGTTCAAGTGAAGCAGCTGCAGCAGCCGTGTGACTCTCATCACATGATGCCCATTACAAGAAATAATTCACCATAAAAAGTTATAATATAACATCTGTTAAGCCAGTTCAGATAAGGAAGTGTATTCTATTTTAAACATTAAACATGGCATAAGAAAATGTAACATATCTTTTGAGAGTGATCCTTGTTCAGCAACCATTTAGGTGAATAAGTAATAGTTAAACAAATTAGACAATCGCTGTTTCAAGATTCTCATGCTTTTTCTATGTTTAATAATTGTTGAGATCAAATATAATCGGACTATTTGTCAGACAAAACAAGAGATTTGAAAAAGTCAACAGTACTGATCATACATTGTACCAGTTTTTCAACTAATTAAAAAAATCTTACTGATGATATTTATGACCTTGTTTGCCCTGTACTACCCCTCTGAGAGATCTTTAACTGATTTTCTTCTGTCTTTTGCACTAATCTAGAGTCAACACAAGGGTGACAATGCCTTTGCTGTTAGGGAAAATTGAATTTGCCTATTTACTCAAAAAGATAAGGGCAGCAAACTCTGCATCTTCTATAAAAACCTCTATAAAGTGTATTTTTAGTAATGCATTTAAATTGTTGTGACTTGTTGTCTGTTGCCTGTTGTCTTGTTGTAAAGCACAAGTGTAGTAAAGAGTGTGATGTTAATAAAAAGTATTATTATTACAACATGGCTAAGATTTTAATCGACCTATGAAGTTTTACGGATATAAAAACTACTCTGCAGGGCAACAGATGACGCTGTAAAAGTTTAAATCCATGATCTGACACTGAACAACACGCCCGAAAAAAAGGAGCCACATCCTCTGTGGGTTTAATCTCAACCATTTCCACTTTTCAGAGCAGAATAAGCAACACAAATGCACACAAATCGTCCATCATCACGTGGAAAACACACAGTTATTGTGGTGACACAGCACTGGACATGCTAGCTAACATTAGCTTATGTCAACAAGTGGTGCAGAAAATCATCAATTGTGTTACTTTCTCTAACTATTATTTATGATTTAAGCAAAAAGCCCACTTCATATCCACTGTTAGCAGCTTGTAAGGCTAACACGAAGCATTTTGTTTTGATTGTGTCGACCCTGGCAGCCCACATCTGATGTGACAGCTGGCTAACTTTGATGCTAACTTTTCCGTGGAGTCACTCACCCAGCTCAGGCATCGCAATATGGTTTGAGGCTGTTTTACAAAATGTACTGCATCAAAAGCACCGCCAGCCAACGACGCCCCGTAAGCGCTGCTCTGCATTTTTTTTTTCCAACAAAAAGTATCCTTCAAGCGATACAAAAAGACGAGCTGGAAGGTGTTCCTGTCAAAGTTAGGGAAGTTTCGTTTTGTGAGAACAGCTTCCTGAAAACTTTTCAAACACCGCCCCTGCTCTGATGTGTTCAGGTGCTCCTCGTAAACAGCAGCTTCAGAGTGGAGTTCAAATTACGGTCTTGATTTTCGTGGTGTTTTAACTTGAATTATTAGGTGAAAAATAACCTTAAAAGTGTCTATGTAACTCGAGGGGGAATTCGTTTATAATATACAAATGGGACGATGCATGAGGGTACTCGAGATAAAACATGCCGAGTAGGTTGCAGAGCCTCTTATTTTACAGGGCGCAAAGTTGATAGTAAACATCACTGGAATGGCCCCAAAATGCAACAGCAAAGGCAGATAGGCTTACTATGAAAATGAGTGCTATGTTAATAGTATTCATACTCACTCACTGCATATGAATACATAATAATATAATCTAAATATAAATAAGTGCTAATTCACTGCAATGTATTTTCATTAAAGCAGGTGTGGGTGCATTCTCCTACTATGATGACAGACATAATTACATCATAAAGTTGCCGGGCTCTCAGAATACAAAAAGTAATTGATTTTGAAAAGTACTGGAAGTTTATTCCAATACTTTGGAGTGTTTGACCAATGTAATGTAGCGTTGCAGTTTCTCAGTGTATCCATTGGATGGCAGTGTACACCCATGATTCCAACACACTCAGGTCAAATATCAACCCCACAATACCAATCCAAATTGTTCCAATTATAATTGGATAAATAGGGAAGTTTTAATAAGCGTTTTTAATATCTGCTCAATTATGTCTTTTATATTTCGTTTTCTCAGGGTTTCTTCAATATCTATTGTTTAAATTGTTATTTACTTTGTGACTTGTGTTTCGAAAAGGCACTTAAAAAAAAAGAAGTAATTATTTACTCTTTTTGTATGTACTACATTTCCCTATGAACCCTGTACATGGCGTGTCAGAGACGCTTGATTGATTGCACTTCCCATCAGGCTCAGGCAGATACACTTTGCACCAAATGTAAATTAGGCACAGCTGTGCTGAGAGAGATAAAGAGAGAGAGGAAGTCTGTATCATGTGTTTTGACGTGTCGGGTGTGTCTAGTCTAGAATAGAGTACAACACTGCTCTGTGGTCGTCTCTGTAACTGATGGTGAAGACTCGATGCTGGTAGCTGCAACAGCGATCATCAAGGACCATGGCATACCGTGTGAACATTAGCCAAACAGATTCTGACTCTGAGTCTGACTTTGAGTAAGTCCTCTTTAAGCCTTAATTTCAGAATTGCTTTACTTTGCGATTATTGGCTGTACCTGAAATGTCCTCTGCATCTTTTTGCTATATCAGGTTGATCAACTTTGTTTTTTATGTTGTCTTAAGAAGCACATGAAGCTGTTACCTTAACACATTAATGGAAGTCTTAGTGTCCTTCATTAAATTGTTTTACTTTTAAAGTATATTTAGTTTGATTTTCCTTAATGTTAGTCTTTGCATGCACTCAGTGATATATTTGAGGCTTTTTGCTCTTAATCTGGCACTTGAAAGTTTTCAGTATCTTTCCAGCAATATGTAGAAAAATTGTTTAGCAAAATGAAGAATCTCTACATGGTAATTCCGGGTAAAAAATATGCATTTCAGATGCAACGTGTCTTATACTGTATACATGTTTCTGTAATGAAGGTCATTATTTCCTCTCCCTCAGGGACATGGGAGGAAGCAAACCCGGTCAAGGCACTTTCCGGTTTATAAGAGAGCCTGCTGCCAGCACCCAGAGGTGTCCTGAGTCCTTACAGATGGACGATTTTAGGGAATGCACAGGTGCAAATAGAGAAGATCTTCCATTCACTGCAAGCGGCCACATGAGAGACGAGACACTTGACACAGGGCAGAGGAAGTCTCTGCAGAGGCATCACTGGTCAGCTGCTACTTTAAATGTGCTCTCCTCAATGCCCAGTCGCACTGCTGGTGAGATGTAATCTTCTTCTTCCAGTGTCTTATTGTGGGTTGACAATATTCATATACACACGTGAAGTCGTGAACCATTGATTGCTTCTTGTCCACACAGGGATAAATGCAGTTATTCCCAAGTATGCGAGAGACTCATCTCAGCAACCTCAGACTTCCTCCCATGATTCTTCTCACCACTCCAAACCAATCCAGGCTGACTTTGTCCAGGAAGAAATGGAGGAAATAAGTGCTGAAGGTGAACAAAAAACAAACTGACAGTCAGCGTTGGCTGTAGCAACTCTGAAACTTCAATAACTTTCTTACTTTTGGGTTACAGAAAACAAGTATGAGCAGTTGGTGTCCAACCTCAGAGGCCTCTCAGTGAGCGAGGCCATGCGAAAGCTGCGAGCCACGCCGCTCAGCTTGGCAGATAAGATGAGAGTCAGGTACATGTGGCACTGAGAACTGTCAACCGTCTTCAAATGAAGCCACTGTGATAACTCGTTCTCCTTTTCTTTTTTTTTAAATCAGGCGACTTGCTTTCAGGGACGTAGATGAGAGTTCATTCATCAGCAGGAATATCGCATGCTACAGGCGTCTAGGCTTGTACATTTCAAGGGTGAGTGCAAACTTAAATAAAACCACTTTTATTTGTGTGTATCAGTCCTTCACTTTTGTTTTTTCTCCCCTCAGACTTGGTGTCACTGCCTGTTCAGCTGCCTCTCCGTCCTCGCCTCCCTCCAGCTGTGGCATTCACCGATGAAGATACTTAGCGGACGTTTTGGAACCGGGGTGCTATCCTACTTCCTGTTTCTCCGGACCCTCCTGCTCTTTAACCTCTTCCTCTTCACTATCAACGGCCTGTTCCTGGTCTTTCCACAAGCAGTCAACCCTCCTCCTCATGACCTTCATTCCAACAATTTCACTGGCCTTGAGTTGCTCACAGGCACGGTAGGATACATCAAAGTCAAAGTAAACTTTATTGTCAATTTTTCAGTTTGTGTGTACAGACAGAGAGATCGAAATACTGTTTCCCACAATCCCGCATACAAAACATTAAATAAATAGCAGTAGGAGTGGAATGGGTTAGGGGTCAAAGGCCATGGTGAACAGGTGAGATTTTAATGATGACTTGAAGATGTCCAGGGAAGCATCTCTTGAATTAATTCACCTTTTTTTTTTTGTGGCAGGGTTACCTCTCTCAGAGTGTGATGTTTTACGGCTTCTACACCAACACTACCCTCACAACGTGCCGGGCTGTAAATGCAACTAAAACAGCTGATCTGCCAATCTGTGACCCCCTCCAGCCCCAGATGGTGCCATACAGCATACCTGCAGCATATTTATTTACCATCGCCATCTCCTTCTTCATTATCTGCATCATCCTTGTGTACAGGTTGGGCAACAAGAGAGTTACTTTTATCTCATTTACTCTGTGGTGTGTATTTTATGGCTGTGTTGTTCTCTTGCAGCATGTCCAAGTCCTTCGGGAGAAGTTTTCAAGTCCTCAAGTCCAACAGGAATCTGGCAGGAAACATTTTCTGTATCTGGGACTTTAAAGTCAGCAAGAACACGTCTGTCAGACTGCAATCTGAGAAAATCAGCACTCAGCTCAAAGTAAGAAACAATTTATATTAAATAAGCAGAGGTGGGAGAAGTACTCGGATCTTGTACTTGAGTAAAAGTAGAAGTACCAGAGTGTAATACTTTGTAAAGTAAAACTCCTGCATTCAAAATGTTACTAAAGTAAAAGTTCAAATGTATTAGCGTCCAAATATACTTAAAGTACCAAAAGTAAAATGACTTATTATGTAAATTGGTCTATTTCAAAATAATATATTATATGTTTTGATAATAATTGACATGGTGGAGTTCAATTTCACATTATCAGTCACACCTTCTCAGTTTTTGCATACACACAGGAAGTTTTGGATGTTAACTTTGTCACACTCAATGTGACACCTCAAGGGCCAACTTCTAATGAAGGCATGTTTTAAATAACCTGTTCTAAATACAATCGTCTGCAGAGCTCCTCCAGGTTTTAACAGATGGTGAAGATCTTTTAAACGTTGATAGCCGGACCTTACAAACTCCTGCTTTTCCAACAGGAGCTGATGTCTGAGCTGACCAGTGGAGAGGATGCAAAGAGCTACACGCAGCGACTCTGCCGCCTCATGGTGCACGTGCTGGCATGGGTTATATGTCTTATCAGCATTGTCCTGAGCGCCATGGCAGTCCACTACCTATCAGAGGTTAGAGAACACGTTCCAATAAGTGCTTGTGCATGCCCATCTAGCATTCTCTCACGACTATGACAAAAATAACTCTGATGAAAAAGCACCTTCCCACCGCAATCTATTTACTTCTCCTTTTTCTTTCCTGGTAGAGAGTTAACACATTTTCTCTGCTGGTGTTGAATAAAACTGCAATGTCTCTGTCATTACCAAAGACTGCACTGATGAGAAAGAGATTGTGCAAAATAGAGGTTCCCAAAAAACAGTCTGACTTTGATCAACTGGTAAAATACTGAGGGAAATATTACAAGTTGTATTTCACTGACATCATGTTATCAAAAAGGACAAACTGCAGTTTTATTTTTCACGCAGGTTTCTCATGATTTAATGTGCTAATAATATACATTGCAACGTTTGCCCTCAAAGTCAGAGACACAAAACACACTAAAGTCTTTCTGTACTGTTAGACGGGGGTGGGGGCTGGACATGTAGCGAACACAGAACACACATTCTTTAAATGAAAATACTATTTATTTACTTTTACAAACAGTGAAGCAGTTTGGGAGCTATATCATATGCCTTGCAAGACTGTGTACCAAAAATCAAGAACCGGAAAGAACCGGAATCGAAAAGCAGAACCGTAATCGTTAAAATCGATACCCTACCTGTCAGTCAATTATTGCTCGATAATAATGTCAAACTAATGTGAAAAAGGTCTATTCAACGTTAGTTCTGTCTTTTTAAATATAAAACTGTGTTTTTTTTAAATATAAAACGGTGTGCAATATACAGTACATAAAAGTGCAATATACCCTCCTGCAGGTTCACGTTTATTTATTTATTTCTCTGTTTATTTACAATTGGCATACGGTACCAGCTAACTCTTTAATTCATGGTCACTTTTCTTAAAAACAAATACACCGCTGCTTTTTTTTCTTTTACCATGGTGTACATATCTGCTATTTTGTTTTTTTACTTATAGTGTTAATTAATAACGTGTGCATGCTTAGCCATTTAATTTAGTTCCCCTCACTTTATCTGTCTGCTGTTGTAATCATGTAAATGTCCCCGTTGGAGGACAGATAAAGGATTTCTGAGTTTCTGCCCATGTGTTTGTCCGAAGCTCTTACTGTTATTTATCCATTCTTTCACAGGCTTGTATCACTCAGAGTCCCTTCAAAGACACGGAGCTGCTGCTGCCTGCAGTGGTGTCGGCCATTAACCTCTTACTGCCCGGCCTCTTCAACCTGTGCACCTGGGTAGAGAATTACGACTCACCCAGCGTATGCGTCTATGTCTCCATCTTCAGGTGAGCAGAAGAACTGTGGAAAAACAAATACAAAGTTAACAATAGGCCTACATATGACAAGACATATTTTAAGAGATAATTCACATGCATTTAGAACCAACGTAATGCTTGTAAAAACATAGGACAAGCATGAAACAGTTTTGGTATTTACTGATAAATACATGTTACACAGTGCTCAAAACTGCTTTAGTATGTCTACTAAATGTTCTCTTCAATGTGTGTTTTAAAAAAAAAAGTAAGTTAAAAAGAGTACATTTACTAGTCTTTTTCAATCTGGAGCTTTCAATTCAGCTTGAATCCTCCATCCGTTTGTTTTTACTGTGAGAATATTCATTTAAAGTTTTGTATTGTATTTCCTTTTATATACCACCCAAATGAATCACAACCAGACATGTTTAAAATACATAGAAATGCACAAATTGTCTCTGTAGTTAGTCACAAAAAATTTAAATTGCAGCATGGAAAATTATTTAAAAAAAACTTCTATCATACTTTTATTAAACTGCTGCACACTAAATATCCCCTCCACTTCTCAATGTTTGTGCACTGGAGTTTCAACATTACTTGTGTGTCATTTGTACATAGTTTGTGCATAAAAACGACTTAAGTGTCCAACATCCATGCAGTGACGCAGCATCTAAGTCACACTTTAACTTGTCAAGCTTGTATTTCCCCTTTCTAGTTATCTGCATAGTAGTTGCCAAATTGAAACTCTGCTTATTGTTTTCTCAGGAACCTGATGTTGAAAGTCAGTATTGTTGGAGTGCTATGTTTCCGCTGGCTGGGGAGAATAGCTGTGGAACCAGAAAGTCATGGTTTACAGGTAACAAGCATCCTTATCATCCTTGTCATAATCATAGCTCTGGAGTGACACTGACTTATGCAATGTTCTTCATTCCTAAAGTATTGGGAAACAAAAAGTGATTTACTGTTTGTCCTTTTTACTTTTAATAATGTGACTCTTACATTAATATTTCTGTTGTCCTCAGTGTTGGGAGAACTGTGTGGGACAAGAACTGTATTGTTTGCTCCTCATGGACTTTGTCTTCACTGTGCTTTACACTTTCTTGGGAGAGTTCCTGTGGAGGCAAGTTGGTACTTCACCTTCAATTCATGTGACTTCATCCTGTTGTTTGCTTTAACACTTTGCACTGAATGCATCTTCTAGGCTCTTTTTCAAGCAAGTGCTGAGAAGGAACAGGAAGCCAGTGTTTGACATTGCCCGTAATGTGCTGGAACTCATATATGGACAAACCCTTACCTGGTAATGGACACAACAGTACACCACATCTTTTAAAACCCATGATATACTTAACCAAAAAAAGATTGATTACAAATGAATGGTCTTTATTTCTCCCAGGCTTGGGGTGCTGTTTGCTCCACTGCTTCCTGCAGTCCAGATCATAAAACTATTTGTGTTATTTTACATGAAGAAGGTTTATATACCAGGTGTTATTTCCTACAATACATGTCGTACAGATATGGACTTGCATGTCAAACTTCACATTCTTCTTCTGGTTTCTTCCCCAGAGCAGTTTATTGCTTAACTGTCAGGCATCCAGACAGCCCTGGAGAGCCAGTCAGATGACAACACTGTTCGTTTCTCTTTTGTTCTTCCCCTCATATCTCGGCGCTGCTGTGTCTGTCACTTATACAATTTGGACGTGAGTGTAACAATGTCCCCACTCTGACTGTGATGCTCAAGCAGTTTGCCTCCTGAAAGGCATGTGTGAATTACCCAACCTCAAGGATGCATGTTCTTTTTAAAACAGGCTTTGAACATAATGACGGTAAAAATAAATCCTTATCCAGCATTAGTAGAAACACAATAACAAAACAATGAGTTTGGTGGCGTCCGTTGCTCCTCTCCAAAAGAAAATGTGCCCGGTAATGTAAAAGATAATGACACTAAAAGTAGTTTCAAGTTGAAATTCAGTGATTATTAGTAATATCCAGATAATATAGATCCAGATGTATGGTGACTAAAATCCTTCATTCTGTTTAAAACAGTCAATAACAAAACGTTTTTTTTAAACTGGATAAAATGTGGATTTATGGTAAACATAAATAAACAAATTGTTACCTTAATATAAAACTACAGGTTTATCTAGGTTTTGAGAATTGTTGGAATCATTTGGTATAATTTCAGTAGACAAGAATACGTAAATTGTAGTCGACAGGACATTTGAATGTGCAAATGTTAAATATTACACCTTTTACATCCAATGTGCTTGAGTTTGAAGCCTAAACAAAATGGATATGTGCTATTGTCCACATACTTGCAAACTGCACTGTATATTAAGAATCCATGTGTGATGCCAACAGGATTAAACCCTCGACAGAGTGTGGCCCTTTCAGGAATCTCACCACAATGTTTCACTCGGGCAAGCTGTGGGTCCAGCAGCTGGAGAGCTCCAACACGCTCCTGTTCTGGCTCAGCTGGGCCTACGACTTTCTGGTGGAGAACCCACTGTTCTTGTTCGTCGTCAATGGAGTCTTTCTGTAAGTGGTGACAAGATGATGTCAATATTTCATGTGTCATGCCCTCTCAAGTCATTTGCTGCAAACTTGTCTGAATAATGATAATCTCCTCTGATGTCGATTCTTTTCAGAATAGTGATATACGTTCACAGTCAAGTTGTCGATGGCCAAAGGAGGATCGTCAGTCGGTTACAAAAGCAAATTGAAAATGTATGCATATGCAATGACAATACTAACATGCTGATGTTTAGCAAGTGTACATTCTAGAATGTTTACCAGCATATTAAAATGCTAATAAGACAACTTACAACTGAAGCTGACGTGAATGTCAATAGATCACATTTCAATAAAGACCTGATTATGGTTCTAAATCTGGTATAAATCATCCGTTCTCCTTTGGGAATGTTTTTCTGCATGGACCATGTTTTATTCAAGACTAAGAATTAAGTTAAATGAGCAAAGTTGGTACTATTCAGCGTCTAGGCACAATGAATGACTCTACCAAACTTCATGGAAATCCATCATACTGTATAGTAGTTTAGACATTATCTTGAATGCCTTAAAATCAAAGATACATGTAGAGTATTTTAATATTGTTCTGAATATATCTTCTGTATTTTCTTGTGTGCAGGAGGGTAAAGACAAAAAGTTCCTCATCACCAATTTGCAAGCCCTTTATGAACGGAGTAGTCGGGTTTCTCCTTACTGATAAGGAAGGTATTCGCAATACTGTATTTCCTCCTTGTGGTCGTAACATGTTCTGATTCGCACGCTTTCTTTGTTTAACTGACCTCACGTTCAAGCTGGAAAGGAAGTTGTGCGACCACTTTCTTACTTCTAAACAACATTGACACCATTCTGTACCACTGGAAATAAATGAACTCACTGGTGTTAAGCAAACTCAAGTACAAGCAATGAGAACACAAGTAAAAGCCAAACCAGTAATATGTGCGCTATTTTCAAATATATTCCACAATGTTTGCAGTGGTTAATATACTGGAAGAACATGAACTAACACTGGCTGTTAGCACTATATATGATATTTAGCATATTATGTCAAAACATACTTTTATGTTACATTCTGTTGAAGTTTATGCATAATGATCTTGAATATGTTGTATGAAAATAAATGAACACATCTTGATATGTTTTTTGGCAACTTTGACATAGCAATTATCCTTTTATTTAAAAATATCTGATTTGCCCTAATCACCACTTTTATTCTAGTATTTTCAACAGATTTTCTAAAACAAAACACACATTCAACATGTTACGTAAATGTATGCGGAGAATAAAACAATCGGAATAGTGATCTATGAACTTTACGTGACTAATGCTTTGGTAACAAAAAGGGATTTATCTCATGTTTAAAAAGGGAGATGTAGTCAAAAATTAGAGCTATATTATGTCAACCACTGTTAATTGCTTTTGTAGAGTATGTTTGTTTAATCAATATTATAAAACGTACATATATCTAGAAAAAAGCAAACCATTTAAGCTTAAACAATTGCTAGATTGAACTATTTATATATATATAACTACTACCCTTTAAAGCATGTTAGAATGCATTTTGCAAACCCTATGGACCCATTCTGGTGATGTCATTATCTTGTAACATATTTTGGAGTTCACATGTTTTCCCCACTGGCTGCTGAACAAGTTTGGTAACTTCTAGGGATTCACAAGAAAATAACCGGCAAGAGATGAACTTGCTGTGACTTAAAAGGACTCCAACTCCACAGCAGGGGACTTTGAGCTGTCTGACTAGGTTGCTGAACATCTCAGGAATTACTTCTGGTAGGTAAGGGTTCTATATTTTCACATAATTTCCTAAAATGTTCACATTTGTACTTTTTGAAATCCTTTTATTTCAAATTGTATTTACTTTATGTAATTTTTTCTCCAAAATCTCACCTTCCCTCCAGATAAAATGGACATGAAGACTCCAAAAAGAGTTTACATTTGCCTTCCAAAGAAACACATGGCGGCTTTGGCTCAAACATATCCACTGGTAAAGATGTTTTCTGAAAACATATTGAACATTAATACATTTTAATTTGCTGCAATATGCCATGAGGCTAATGATTTCCTATTGTTTTACAGGACCACGGGGTGATTGTAAAAGACCTGAACACCTACATAAATGAAGGATATTTACTATCTTACTTTAGAGAATGGGGCACCATCACAGCGTGTAAGGTATGGACTATGGTATGGACATAAACACAATTTTGTGACATAGTTGATGTACATTTTTAACTATGTTTTAGATTCAGGACATTGTCACTTACTTTTACAACAACCCTTCACCTGTTTAATTTAATCCAAGGTTAAGAAGAACCAAAACTTGGGGGAAAACAATTCAATGGCCTATGTGAGGTTTTCTACAGAGGATGAAGCAGACAGAGCAGAATGGGCTGGACCTCACTACATTGGAGGCGATGTCGAAGTAAAACGAGTTGTCAGTCCAAAGGTGAGTCTTTTGTCTCTGTTGGAGAAGAGCTGGTCTCATTCCTGATTTTATTACGGACATAAAGAAATCTTATAGAAAGACGAGTTGATGAGCAATATTTGATTTATAAAGTGAATATTTGCTGACTGAGTCCTCATTGGCCAACTATAAAATCTGTCTTTCAGATGGACAAGGATTCAGAGGAGGAGGCTGCCTTAGTTGTTGCTCCCTCTCGACCACGGCGATCAATGGGCTTGGGCTACATCCTGGAAGACGCTCAGTGGTTAGATGACAAGATGGAGTAAAACCTATACAATGCAACTTGTAGGACGAACGTTTTTTTTTTATTGTTTAACTGTCTGTAGCCTTCTGTGCCTGAAGTTAGATAAAAAAAGAAAATCATCACAAGGATAGCATATACTGCTACATACAAACACATATTGCACCTATTTATTTTTTTTTTAATTTGTTCTGAGTTGCTCTGATACATACTGCTTTGATTCTATGTTGTGTCTTATGATAACTATAGACCGTGGGTGATAATAGTTGTATTCAATTCTGTGTTTCATGTTTGTCAAGGGTGTATGCATTGTTCAAATATAGCTATATATTCCCTGTGTAAAGAGACTGTTAATGAATGTATTATGATTAGTCATTCATAAATTATATTTCTCTTCAAAACACAGTTAAAAGTTACGCTAATGGTTGACTCACATTGTTGCGCTTGAATAAATGTTTTTTAGAGTTTCAGTTTTGTCTTTTTCTTGTATTACAGATCATATTAAATACTAATGACTATTGAAAAAATATAACTTGTATAACTAATCTTTTATATATTTATTATAATGTAGAACCATTTATTAAAAAAAATATATGTATGAAAAGCTATCATACAATCCAAACTAAGCTTAAATTATTAAATACAAATATTACATTTCGTTTACGGTCTACGGAGGGCGGGGTTAAATTACGTCAGAGATCAATGACCAATCCCTACGCAGAGCGCCAAGTTTCTCACAGCGGAGTAAACATGGCGGAGAAGAACGAAGACATTGGATTCAAAAAGGTAGAAGAATATGTTTAGACAACGGCTGTTTTCACCTGCTGGGGTTAAATAATAACGAATATTGCTTTTAACTTGCCGCATCTGTTTGATTTAATTAACCTCTTAGACCCCACATTCAGGCTGACCCTGTACACGGAGCTCATACATTGTTTCTTATTCTCAGACGATTAAACGTTAGTCCTTACTAAAATAATATTCAGTTAGTTAAATGTATGCCGAATGGAAAAGCGGTTCAAAGTTAAATAAAATAATCGTATCTGTTGTCAATATTCAGGGGTAGCACTGTGTTAGGTGTATTATCCCATTAAAATGCCGTTTTTTTCAAAGGTAGTTTGGTATGAGGAAGAACGCAGCAGCAAGTTACACGATTATATATTTTCTCTGTTTGTTTTTCAGAAAACCAAGTAGGACATTTTTAAAATGTATGCCTGGTTTGTGTTCATGACAATGCGCACTTTACTTAGTATTAATCTAATTTGTAAACATAGATTATCATAATTTAAAGATTCAGAATCAGAAATCCTTTATCAGTCCCACTGTATACTGTATAAAGGTCCCACAGCGGGGAAATTCACACAAGGAGGTTTAAAGGGCTGTATGAACATCTTTAGGTTTAAGAAAAGGTATAGAGAAAGAATAATTAGACAATGTGAAGATGTCAGGTAACCTGTTTTGCTGATGGTCGATTGTTGTGTTGACTTTTGATTGTGATTTTGGTTTCATGTTACTTTACATTTTTGTAAGCAGCTGTGATAAAATAAGGGGCAGGTAAAATACAATTTATTCTCCCTCCTCCTTTACATCAGGGGCTATAGAAACTGCGTGTACATACATTATAATAATTGCCATGAGTGGAATAAACAATCCCGAAAGACAAGTATTTTGGCAATTTACTCCCTTCTGTCCGTCACATGCAAAATGTTCTCTATTCTCCTCATTTACAGGACACAGTAAGCAAACTCTTGTCAAGCTTCTTTAAGGAGGACAAAACCAGACGTGAGTTGGATATAATGTCTTGATATAACATATCCAAAACTTTTATTATTGACTTGACAACTCAAAAACTCTCACTCTCTTACAGTGAGTGGGGATGCTACGCTGCTCGTGGCAGAGATGCTCAAAGTATTTGTCCGAGGTAAGCAGTTGTGTTGGGTACATTTGTACACAGGTTGCGTTATGATGAAGCCTTGAATGTGGTATCTCTTTCCAGAGGCTGCTGTGAGATCACAGAAACAAGCTGCTTCTGAGGACTGTGACCAAGTGGACATCGAGCACTTTGAAAAGATCCTGCCTCAGCTGGTGAGTAGCTCGATCAAATTGGGGTTCAAGAGCTATACATTATAATCATAAACTGCTGCAGTGTGCCGTGTAATGTTTTTGTTTATTAGACCAGCAGGGCATTTTATATTATTTTTCTTATTTGGACGTACTGAATTCTGAATTATTTCTGTGACAAACCTCGGCCTTTCAAATTATACGGTATGATTAAATCTAATTATAAGAATAAATATAGGCCCTACCTACATTTGTATTAGTGATGAATCAGTTCTTTAAATGTATTCAAAATCCAATATAGCATAAACAGAAAGCAAAAAATCTCCGTATTTTAGAGGTTTGTAACATTTAGTTATTTTGCCATAAAACATTCTTTATGCATTAAAATTATCAAAATTGTTGGTGATATTTGTTTGTCTATTGATCTGTCTTTACAGATTTAAAGAGAAGTTAAATAAATGTTTCTGAAATACTGTGCAAAACCAGCTCAAACTGCTAGTAGTTGATTGTAGCAGCTGATGGTCATATACAATTCTACTCAAAATTGGAAATTGGACATATAGCTTCAATGCACAGTTTAATCTCCGTCTCTTTTCCAATACAGCTGATGGACTTCTAGCACGGTGATGCCACAAGATGGAGCCAGAGTGTTGCCTGCTTGTTCCTGTTTAAATCCAACAATTTCAATTCAACATGTTTATTTTTCTTTGGACGAATGCAATTTCATAATAACTCAAATCTGAGATTACAACAAGATTTTTATTCTGTATGTATTTGAGTCGAGTGATTTTACATAGAAAGCAGCGTGTACTGTGCACACCCTTTCATGCCACCACCAATAAGGCCCACCTGTGCTCCTCTGCAACAACAGGTGCTTCCAGCATGCTCCATAGTGCCCTTCATCAAAGCCTCCTGGAGCAGTTGGAAGCAATTAGAGTAATAAGGGGAGCAGCCAGTCCCTTAGATGATGACAAGTGCCAGGAAAAAAGGAGTACCCCCTCCGGCCACTTTGAAGTTCCCTTTGCTGTCCTGCGATGTTTAGTTAGAGGTGGGGGGAAGGGCAAAGGGGACCTCTGGCACAGGGGGAAAGTTGAATGGGAGTGTGCGTGCACGAATGTGTGCGTGCTAGCTAAACATGGCCAGAGACCACACGCATAGATATTCTGTTTGAAAGGAAACATAACAAAACACATTGGAACATGGTCCAAGAAGAGCAGGGTGTAATTCTGAAGGTAAATAAACAAAGAGGCGAGTAGTAGAGGTGCTTTCTCTCCTTTCACCACAGCAGAGGGGGGAGTCAGGCCTACAAGGGAGAGGGTAATGTGGGGTTTTCTAACCCAAGGGCCTCAGATGGTTTTCCACCCGTGGTGTATTTGACCAACATGTCTTCACTATGAGTCAGCATAGCTGTACAACACCTCACACTATTTATTTGTGTGGCTCTTGAGTGAGTCACTACGCTTACAAACATGGCTCACATACAGCTGGAAGCAACTCCGGCTAAAGTCAAGAGTCCAGGCTCCGATAGGTGCTCAAGGACACTGCACCTGGAGTTTGACCCAGCACCTTTTTAGTAGGGCCCAGACCGGATTTGTGTTTCCCAGGAGAAACTTCCACAGCAGGCCTTCATGAAGGTGTGTTAGGCCGAGTTAAGTTTAAAAATAATTTGTTGGGTTTATAACTACAGTCATTCACAGCAGCAGGTACAGTTTGGCGCAATATAAAACTGCAGATCCACCGCTTTGACAACACGCTAAAATGACTATTTATTATGAAGTATGACACCAAATGATCTTACCAAATGATCTTACTGGAACTGCATTTCCACTTAACCACAGTAAGCAAACATGTAAAAGATGTGTCTCGCTATAAAGCCTTTCTGGAGCATTTTAGAGATTAAATATAAATATCAATCCTTGTAGATTAAATAAAAACAGTGATTCTGTTGGATCTATGGCTCGGAAAAACATCTATTTCATGTTGATTTCCTGATATGAGAATAAATATCCTCTTACATTTGGATATATTCATAAAGCATAGTAAATGGATGTAATTTTCAGATTTTTCCAGACTGTTATTTGCTTTTACCAAATTAGCGATTATATCCACATAACTAATGACTATCAAAAATGTAATCGTTTAAATATTTTGTGAAAGCACCAACAGTAAACCTTCCAATATTGTTGCAATATTAAAATGTACGTATTTGATCAGAAATATGACATTTAACATGACATTCTCCATATTACCCAGTTGGATCCGTCATCTCTCTTATCCACAATCAGTCTTAGTCTTGGTAAATTAAGGGCACTACTGTACAAATCTTCTCCTTATGCATCTTAGTGGAACAAATTACAACTGAAAGCAGTATTATTAAACATACGAAAGCAGTTAGGACAAGAATGGGGAGGGGCATTGAAGAGAGTAATGAGTTAAAGCTTTTTCTTGATCATACATTAAAGGCAGGGAGTGTCGACAGCCAGTCCAGACGGTTTGGAGAAGCTCTGGAGTGAGAAGCGTTTCCCACTGATCTGTCTCCAGCCTTCTGGCTTTTCTTTGGACAGCACTGCGCATGGGACAATGAGGATATCACTTGAAGATATCTGCCTTATTGTAGCCAATAATATCAATACTGATTTTATAGAAGCATTGACGGGCAGGATTATTCTTGATGATAAACTAAAACAAAGGCATGTTCCGGTTCTGGGAATACTTGTCATATGTAGGTTTTTAATCCATGAAAAAAAAATGCAATTGGATGTCGTTGCAGTAATCAAGGTTAAGGGTGATGCTTGTCTGGGGTGGAGTCGTCTGCATCTGTTCTTGAGAGTCCTTTAAGTGATGATTATGTCAGATTTCACTCCTTAATTCCCGACTCATTCGTCTGTGGTTCTTATTTTCTATTAGAGTGACACAGCTTCTCCCAAATATCTAACTTTCTGCCATGTAAAGGCTCCTATATTTTCTGGCCCAAACGCAAGTCCTGTTTATGTTGAGTGATCATAATGGCTGTAAAAACATGCACATGAGCTACATTTAGGTTCGAAGGCTTATGCTATAATAGTCAGGGAAATAAAAATAAGATATTCTGTCACGCAAGCAAATGAATAATTCAATGAAAGACAGGATATGACATGAAATCTCCAACTGACAAAGACGATACAGGCGTCATCTGCCATTTGTGTAATTTCTACCCCAAACATTTCAATTACATTTGTTTTTGAGTATTTCTATAATAAATATCTGATGGCATGCATCTGTTCTCAGAAGTTTGTGTGCATGTATGTGCTCGCATGCATGTTGTGCTTGATCTAGGGCTGTGATGCATTAGAGACAAGAGGCCCTTGTGGCCCCTGGAGCTTTCTAACCATGGAGGAATGCTGCAGGGGACACAGAGCGAGTGAATTCC